AACCACCTCCAATGAGCAGTACAGACTGGGAGCCTGAGAGTCCTGGTCTGCCCACTACAACAAGCATGGACAGAAATACATCCCAGCTTGCTGGAAAATGAATTACAGAAGGATTGTGCCAAGACCAGTGGCTGGAGGAATAAGAGGCATAGCAGCCACCGGTTTTACAAACAGGAAACCCCTGGGAATTAATGGTTTTATTTGAAAATGAATAGGCTATTTCAGATCAACTACTGAGCTGAAAAGATGGATGACATTCAGTGAAGATAAAAAAAAAAAAATCAGCAACAAGGATATATAAAAAAGTTTTTGCCTGGATTTCTGGTTTAAAAATGCTACACAGCCTCTGAAATTGTTGTTGGACTAGCTCCATGCTGAACCTGGACCATCACAGAAGACAAAATATCTAAAAGACCCAATACTTTTCTGTTGAATTGAAATAAGTAAGGCACTTATTAAAACTCAAACATATAAATCATATAGAGAAGATGAAAACAAACATCTTGTGCCTAGAAAACTCACAACAGTCAGTTAAGTGCTAAATATAAAGTGTCCACATCCTGAAACATGAGTAAATCCAGTGTTGCAAAAAAAAAAAAAAAAAAAAATCTTCTCCTTTTGCGTACCCCTCGTTCAATCTAGTGCACTGCCCGCCCCTCTCACCTTGTTATTTGAACATAATAAGTGCTAGGTCCAAATATCGCTTTCACCATGCAGGGGTTAATCCTCACAATCGGTCCAGGTATAAATAGTAAGTCCTTCCCACACAGGCTTTATCCCCCCAAATAGGAACATCCACTCAAAAAAAAAAAAAAAAAATTCAGAAAGAAGGCAGAATGCTTACTGTATTAAAAAGGCTTTTATTTAAAAAGACACAATTAAAATGTGCTTTGTAAAAAAACACTGTGGGGTTGATTTACTAAAACTGGAGAGTGAAAAATCTGGTGCAGCTGTGTATGGTAGCCAATCAGCTTCCAACTTCAGCTTGTTCAATTAAGCTTTGACCAAAAAAACAAAAAAAACAAAACAAAACCACACACTCAACCTGGAAGTCGGCTGGTTTCTATAAACAGCTGCACCAGATTTTGCACATTCCAGTTTTAGTAAATCAACCCCTGTGCCTGCAACCGATCACCCATCCTGCACCACCTGCTGCTAGCACCGCTCTGTACTCTGAACTCGCTCCACAGAGGTGTCATTGGTAGTGTTTTGACGTGATCCAAAGCTCTGTCCTATGTATTACATCAGTAAGTCTTCATCAGGGGTGAGAGGAGGGGGGAATAGCTCTTGAAGGGCAGAAAGATGCAGAAAAAAAAAAAGGCAAAAATTACCATCCTGCCTGATGGGGCTTCCTGTAAGTAAGAGAAAAGGCAAAAGGTCCCAAGAGAGACATGGCACATAGCCATAGATTTTATACCTGACTCCTAAGGCCTAGTTCACACCAATGCAGTGTGTGTTTTGTCCGTTATGCAGTGCTTTTTGTGGTGCATTTTGCATTTTTTGATGGGTTTTTTCACACGTGTTTTTGCATTTTTTTGACAACTTGTTGCTTGACAGATTAAAACCTCAAAAATGCGTCAAAAAAGTATCAAACTGGACAAAAAAAATAGCAACCTGGAGCCCAACCTCTGTAGCTGTAAGACAAAGGTGCCAGATGGATATCAGGGATGGATGGATGGAAGCAGTAACACTGAGGCAGCTCTTATTAGAGTGGAAGCAAGGCTCTAATGCAGTAACAAGAAAAAGAGAGGAAGGCGCCTCTAAGTGCAGTATTAACAATTTATTAGTAGACAATGGAAAATTTGCACTTACAAGATAAACGGTTAAAAAGACTCATCTGGTCTGCAGAAGGAGCCTATTGAGCATCCTCCGAAATGCATTACCGCCCCTTTCACCTGCTACATCTGACTCTGCTCTCCAAGCTTCATTTTTGGTGCACAGGCACATCCTGGACTCTACTTCCTGATCCTATAGGCATAGCTTGCTGCTGGACGGCTGGATGTCCCACCTGGATCCAATTACCACACGATGAGTCTTTTTAACCGTTTATCTTGTAAGTGCAAATTTTCCATTGTCTACTAATAAATTGTTAATACTGCACTTAGAGGCGCCTTCCTCTCTTTTGCTTCCCAACTTATAACCTGCCTTAGCACATGGAAGGTAATGCACATCACAAACAAAAGATTTCCTAGCAGCACTTACCAGCTTGCAAAACAATCAATTTGGTCCTGTCTAAAGGTTTGTGTTAAAACCCAGAGGGTTTAGTTCGCACACATTTGCAAATACATGCATAAGCCACAGTCCCGCACCAAGGGTCCTCTATACAAATTTCCAGAGCATCCATAGTAGGAGCACATGTATCAATGGATAGGTTAAGGGCCGGTGTGCCTGGAGAAGCTCATCCCTCATTAGAGGTACTTGCCCTTAACCTACCCATTGATACATGTGCTCCTACTACGGACGTGCTTTTGCGCAAGTTCGTCAACACACAGGAACATTAACCAAGCCTTAGACTGGGGTGCTTTAAGACCGAAAATACTTTTCAAGGGCGTTTTGACTGTAAAAAGGTTGAGAACAGGCTGCGTCAAAGAAGACCATGTGGGAGCCTGTCTACTGAAATAGTTTATACCACTGCATCTTGTGTATGCTGAAATCTACTGCCTTCAAAAAAAGGACAGGAGTTCCTATGTAGAAGCTGATAAATCCTTGAATCTGAGGAGGAAAGCAAACATTCACTGTGTCGTTAGGGTCTGAGTGGGTTTGGGGATAACTTGTTCCTTTAAGCAGCAAGCAATTCATTGTGCATGTTTTCTAGAAGGTAGAATGTAATAATTGTTTCAATGTCTTTTAGGCATCAGTAGACTACCCATTCATCTCTGGAAATGGAGGTGAAACTTTAGCAAGAGTAAGGATTTTTAGTTGCTCATATGGACTTAGAAGGGTAAGGTTTACCATGAGTAGAAGGACTCGCAGTACATGATGGTGCCTGAGCAGGGGTGAACAGATCTAAAGCATAATGTAGGGGATTATCTATTCTGCATCCACAGTGGGGACAAACCTTTTTTTTTTTTTTTTTTTTTTTTTTTTTAAATCTGAGTACATAAGATCCAATGCTTTGAAGTTATCAGGAGGGGGAAACAACATCTGTGGAGTTTGACCTATTGTTGTAGAAGGCCCAACTTGCCTGATCCAGAATATAACATGTCACTCCAGGTGAGATCAGGTTCCACAATCATATCAAACATGCTGGCTTGGCTTATCTCCACAAAAACAATCACTTGTATCCTCAACAGGAATGCCACATACAGAGACACAAATTAAACATCCTTATTTAACATAGCCAGCAGGAACAAATTCTATCCTGAACATGTATTGCGCTAGGCACAGTGCTTTCTCAAAGAAAAGGACTTTCTACAAATGGTCCTCTTTTTTTGTGCAGTTTTGAACATGTGGGAGCTGTGCAGCGTTTGCAGTATTGTAATAGCGTAATATGTAATATGTTTATTCACAAGAAGATCGAACCAAATATAATAAATGTGCACTCATAAATCTCCAGTATCTGACAGCTTCAAACCGCATGCTTTTTGGGTGTACTCTGCATGGGTATAGGAATAGGTGTGCCAAGATGGCGTCTATGCCGGAAGTGCGTCACTACGTGCAGGCCTACGCGTTGCGTCACAATACCATGTGACTTCCTCAGAGCCCATCTTGGCACACCTATTCCTATACCCATGCAGAGTACACCCAAAAAGCATGCGGTTTGAAGCTGTCAGATACTGGAGATTTATGTGAGTGCACATTTATTATATTTGGTTCGATCTTCTTGTGAATAAATATATTACACTATGGGAGGCTGTGTTTATGTTTGAGATACTGGTACATACCCCCACCCTATCTGGAGAGGAGCCACTATCTGAGTGCTGACCCCCTGAGAGGGAGATCTGTGTGCGGTGAGAGCAGACCAGTGGAGAGGCTGCATGCTAGAAGGATCTGAGGGTGTGATCCCACAATACGCTTTGACCCGTACGGGTCGAAGTTTTAAGGTTAGAGACTAATCTAGCCGTTGGTTGGATTTTCTTTACCAGCAGTTACCCACAGTCACATCACATTACATCAGCACGAGTGTTGTATTGGAATAAGTGGTATTATTATCCACTGTATTGGACTTTAGAGCACATATCAGACTTTTCAGTCTGATCCAATTAGTGTGTTGTTTGCACATTATTTGCACAATTTTTGTCACTTTATTTTCTGTTTGATTGATGTATATATTTATTGCACTTATTGAGATTTATACTTATTGCACCTTATTAATGGTATATATCCTCTGTTATATATTGTGGCAGTAGTAGAAATTTGGTGCTTGTTTAATATTATTTTTTGCATGTTTATACATTTTATATTGAGTTTGCAGTGGTATTGATTTATCACTGGTTTTACTGGACTAATATTCACCTTCACATTTTGGTCCAGTTGTAGAACACTATTATTTGTGGTAGTGTGTCTATGTGTCACATCGCATGGTGGTATATTGTTTCACAGGCATTTTACTTTTTTGTGGCACTTTTTGTGAATATTTTGTTTCACCATTGTGATTTATTTCACACAGTCTGTCATTTGTTTTTTTTCCACATGAGTGTATGCATATATTAATTTTTGGATTTATATATTATATGTGAGTAGCTCTACACTTTTTATAGTTATTTTAAATCACAGATCATGGGTATATGATTTATTAACAGCTTCTCTTAGCAGGAGATTTTTTAGGATTATTAGCGCAGGAGGTTCACACCACTACTTCTCACTTTTGTTTTGCATTCATATCAGCTTGTAGAAGGTGAGGACAGTTCTGCAGACACAGGAGAACAGAACTTTCCAAAACTACTTGCGAACAAAGGATAGCTATGTAATTTCAACTGCTTACATAAAACTTTGAAAGGTTTACCTATCAAATTGGCATAATACACTAAAATAAAAATTCCTTTGCAACCTCATACATACCCCAAAGGTTTCTGTACTTTCAACTTTCGTGATGGCCTTTCCTTTTCTGATAAATCGTCTTTTCTCTTGCGTTTCTTAATAGACCGATCATCATCTTTTAAATGTGATACCTTGAAGCAAAAAAGTATATAAAAAAGTTTGTCAGCCAGCTTACTAACAAACTGACAAATAATGCACATTAAACCTCAAAACTACTAAACATTTTTTCTCACACTTAGAGGATTTCTGCTTTTTGCTTTCAAGAAAATCTTCATTTTCAGAATCAGATGCTTGTCGAAACTGTAGTGTTCCTGTATTGATATAAAAACCTCCATATTTCGTAGTTAGTGAGGCCGGGACCAACTCATCATACTAGAATGAAACAAAAGATAGTTTAGTGGTTGGATTTCATTTATTAGCCCAAAGCAAAAAAAACGTAAACAAGATATTGCAAAGATTTTCAATAAAGACTAACAAACAAATTAAACCATGCAAATTTCCCATTTTTCTAGTGTACAAAGCCGCAAACACTTGAGAGTATATCCTCCCTACTCAAACAATAAAAAATTATAAATGTTGAGCTATGTATAGCAAATTCAATAAAATTATAAACACATATTAACCACTTGCCATCGTGAGGATTACCCCCCTTAAGGACCAGGCCTCTTTTTGCTATTCGGCGCTGCACTATTTCAACTGATAATTGCACGGTTATGCAATACTATACCCAAACAAAATTTACGTCCTTTTTCTCACACAAATAGAGCTTTCTTTTGATGTTATGTGATCACCTGTGCGCTTTTTATTTTTCACGCTATAAACAAAAAAAAAAGACTGAACATTTTGAAGAAAAACAATATTGTTTACTTTCGGCTGCAAAAAATATATAGTAAACTCAAAAGTTAGTCATACATTTAGGCCAAAATGTATTCTGCTACATGTTTTTGGTAAAAAAAAAAAAATGTACGTCCTTTTTTTCCACACAAATAGAGCTTTTGTTCGGTGGTATTTGATCACCTGTGTACTTTTATTTTTGGTGCTATAAACAAAAAAGTTTTTTAAACAAAAAACCTCATTTGTCATAAGAAATATCCCAGAAACTAAAATTTTGTCATAAAATTTATGCCAAAATGAATTCTGCTACATGTTTTTAATTTCTGACTGCCCATCAAATTTCTTGAGGTGATAAAACACCAGGACAGTACGAACACCCCCAAAATGACCCCTTTTCGGAAAGAAGACACCCTAAGCTATCTGCTGAGAGGCATATTGAGTCCATGGAAGATTTTTTTTTTTTCCACAAGTTTTTGGAAAATGCCAAACACTTTTTTTTTTTTTTTGTTTTTTTAAGCAAAGTTGTCATTTAAATGATATATTTCTCATACAAGCCATGGCTATATATGCGGAATTACACCCCAAAATACATTCTGTGACTTCTACCGAGTATGGGGATACCACGTGTGAGAATTTTTGGGAGCGTAGCCACATACAAGAGCCTGAAAGCCAATGACCATTTTGAAAGCCTGAAGGTGCACAAATTCATTTCACTTCCTCACTACCCATCAGAGTTTCGGAGGCCAGGAAATACCAGGATAGCACCAACCACCCCCCCCCCCCCCAATTGACCCCTTTTTGGAAAGTAGACACCTCAAGGAATTTAAAAAGAGGCATGGTGAGTATTTTGCAGATCTCATTTTTTCTCACAAGGTTTTGAAATATTAAAAAAAAGGAAAAAATATGTTTTTGTTTTCTCTTTCTTAATTTTACAAAAACTTGTGGCAACAAACAAGATCTGCAAAATACTCACCATGCTTCTTATCAAAATTCCTTTGGGTATATACTTTCCAAAAAGGGGTCGGGGGGGGGGGGGGGGGGGGGGGTGTTGGTGCTATCCTGGCATTTCAGAGCCTCCAAAACTGTGATAGTTTAAAAGCCTTTACAAGCTACCATTTTAGATTTACAGAGGAGGTCTCATGCTAGAATTATTGCCCTTGATCTGATGTTCACGGTGATGTCTCACATGCATGGCGCAACCGCTGTTTACATACCGGCACAGGGTCATGCTCGTGCACACACAGGTGCTTTTTTTTTTTTTTTTTAAGTTTAGATTTTTTTTAATTATTTTTACACTGTCCCTTTCATGTTTTACACTGTCCCTTTCATGTTTTTTTTTAATCCCTTTTAATGCTATCAAAGGGAATTCAAATATACCCTATAACTTCAATGGGCATTGTCATATATTCTTTTTTCAGAAATCTGGGGTCTATCAGACTCTAGATATTGCCTCTGCCCTTACATTATCTAATCTCACCAAGATCGGTGTGATCAGATGCTTACCAATGGCACGGTTTATATTTCTGTGAAACTGAAGTGATGAAATGCGCGTAGCTTCCAATTTCTTAGACTATAGAGAGGATTGGCACCATTCCAGTCTCTAATCAGCACTATGGTCAGCTGGCAGAAACACCAGCTGCATTCTCAGGTTCCCCCGATGGCAAGGGACTGCCCGAGAAGGCCGTGGAAGGCGGGGGGGAGGCGGGACATAGTCTCCCGCTGCTTGTAAAAGCAATCCTGCAGCTAATTAGCCACTAGGATTGCTTTTACATGAAAGCCGATCGCAAGCTGAAAAAATTATACTAGGACGATGCCTGCAACTATAGGCATCATCCTGGTATAACCAAAGTCCAGTGATGTACCAGTACTACCTTGTTGGGTGTAAATACTATGTTTTTGGTTTTTTTTTGTATGCAGCCTGTGGGCTGAATTAAAAAAAAAAAAAAAAAGAAATCTCTGCCAGAAAAAGTGTGTGGTATGCCCACCATTAGAATATACCGCCCTGCATCCACCCACTTCTACTGGAGGGCACCCATTAGGTCACACTGTGCCAAATGCGCCAGTCCTAAGATTGTACAAATGTCTAAATAGCGCACGCTTGAATAAAAATTGTCCACGTATAAGTGGTACCTCATATGGAAAAAGGATGACACCAAGTCCCAAACTATCTTGCAACTGCTCCCCATGTAGTCTGGGCATCCGGGGGGGCTCCACGGGACTGAAGTCCACCCCTCCCATGTTAAGGTTATAGTCGTGGAAACAGAGGGGTTTCTCAACAACACCATCTGCCGTGGTAATTTGGATGGTGGTATCTGTGTGAATGGAAGACAGACGAGAACATACCGTTTATCCTTCCACTTCACTGCGGGCAATTCCTCATTACTCAAGCAGGTTTTTTCCCCCTAAGATGGGTATTTACAAGCTAAAAAACTACTTTGTGTCACGCTCCACTATCAATATACACACAAATCAATTAGTGAAAAACAAACTGATTCCTAATATATTTCCACAATGTGATATACGCAATCAGGCTAGTGCTGCATGCATATCTTCACACAGAAAATCCTCCGAAAAAATCCTCAAAAACAGTCCGTGGTCCTATAGAGTCTTCTATAGTGTAATACAAAAAATGAATGAAATATTGTCAACCAAATATATCTATGTATACTGTGCTCTTTCACCAGTTGTGCTCTCACCTGACGTATAAGACCAAACCGTTAAGTGAGGTCATACAAGCTTGTGTCCCTTTAATGGGCTCAGGATTGGACAGATGGATGAATCCCTGTATCCCAAATGGATGGCCGGATAGATGGAGTTTTTCCTTTTTCCAGCAGGGGTCTCGCCGTTATCAAGAGATCCTTTTCCTGGATATGGATGGATGGATGGAGTTATCCCTCTTCCCATCTTTTCTCTCGTAAATTGGAAACTTATATGTATAGCCTGTTGCCCTCTCACAGGTCTTGACCACATATCTGGCACGCTTGTTGGGGAGAAATTGTTTGAATGCAAGGGAATGAGAGACTCAAAACGCAGATGTTTTACTGGGGAGTATAGACATCTGCAATTTTTTGGTTAAGGTGATTTACGAGGGGCCGAATTTTGTGGAGCCAGTCAAATTCAGGGTCACCCCAAGGACAACAGAATGTGTTGTCAATGAAATGCATAAAACACAATATATACTCTCATATCTATGCCTGGCCATGGCAGCAGAGAACACGGGCATATGGTGAATCGGGTCTGTGCACCAATACAACCGAAAAAGTCTTTTTTTCTTTCTTAGTAATGCCCATGTTGAGGGTTAGGCCCCCCCCCCCCCCCCCCCCCCCCCCCCCCCCCAAAAAAAATGTAAAATTGGAAACCATAATGGGTTTCCATGCGAATGGTCTGGAAATGTTTGCATTTGGGTTGGCGGCGATAAATTGTTGTGCATATAAATAGCTTTGATCCACAATCACTGCATACAGATCTTCCATGAAAAACAGCTCCAAAAAATCAAGTGGAGTAGTTGAATTTGCTGTTTCCACCTGAATACACACACACACACACACACACACACACACACACGTGATTTTGCGCACCCCCGTCACCCTGTAGCAGTATTTCAGTCAGGAAGAGGTTACAGAAGCAGTTTGTGTTACGGCACTGCATTATTTAACTGACAATTGCGCAGTCATGCAACCTTGCACCCAAATGAAATTTACATCTTTTTTTCCCAGAAATTGAGTTTTCTTCCGGTGGTATTTGATCGGCTGTGCGTTTATTTTTTGCGCTATTAAAAAAAAAAAAAAAAAAAAAAGGACCTACAATTGAGAGAAGAAAAAAAAACTATATATTCTGGACTTTTTGCTATAAAACATGTCCAGTAAAAAAAATTTTAAATTTAAAAATCTAAAATTTTGACATAAATTTAGGCTAAGATGTATTCTGCAACATGTCTTTGCTTAAAAAAATATCCCAATACATGTAAATTAATTGGTTTACGTGAAAGTTATATCGTTTACAAATGGCGGTATAGACACTGGGTTTTTTGATATTTTTACATATTCTACTAATTGCGGCGATCAGCGACTTGTGGCGGGACTGCGGTGGACATTCTGACACGAGGTAGGGACTGACTTGGGGTCACTGACATGCCTAGTGACACCAATACAGTGATCATTGCGGAAAAAACCCAAAACACTGACACTGTACTAATGGCACTGGGGAGGAAGGGGTTAACATTTGGAGGCAATCAAAGTGTTTTCTGTGTGATGGGAGTGTTTTACTAGGGGGTGGTGTGCTTAATTGTAAGCACACTGACAGGGATGGCTGTGCTCAGCAATCCGGATCAGTGTGCCCAAACTGGCAGGGAGGAGGGCTGCATTGTAATAACCGGGCTCCGGCAGGTAATCACCAGCCGGGACCCGGTGATTGACACCCGTGATTGTCGGCACGGGTAGGGCGGGCAACCGCCCCCTACTCGGAAATGCAAAATCACTTATATACACACACGATTTTGTGCAGCGGTGTCGCCCTGCCGCAGTAAAAGTACCAGTTAA